ATGACTGCACGGTCATGCTGTCTGCTTATTGCGGGCTTTGGTTCTATCTTCTCTGAGCTGTGTCGGACATGCCGTCTTTACTGCTGGAGCCCCCCAATGAGAGTATTGGCCAAACGTGTAGCAGGCCGGAGGCGAGGGTACTGAGTACGGCATTCTTCGCCTTTGGCCTTAGGAGTGCTCCTCTCTGCGCTTGTGCTGGTTTGCTCATTCTTCCCTCCCCGTATCCCAGGTAGCGGGTTGTTTTTTTGTGCACCGCTCCTCCTCTGCATCCACGCATAAGCGTAGAGCGCTCTCAGGCAATGCGCGCGCACCGCAACCAAATCACACGCACGCGCGAAAACGTACAGACCCAGCATCCCATATGTGGTGTTCTTGCTCCTCATATTCGAGCTGAAGTGCTCTTCGCCCCGCGTTCCAAGCGCGGGGATGATCCTGTCTCGCTCCGCACTGCAGGACTGTTGGACTACAGTTGTACGTGTAGACGGCGTCTTTCCTCCTTTTCTTCTTGTCTTGGCCTCGCATCACTGAATTGGATTTCTTGGGTCCGCACTGGGCCCCCCTTTGGCGGCGCCTCCGACGCCGCCCCTGGCGCGCTCCGCGCGCCAGGGAGAGGGTTCCAGCGCGGACCCAAGAAATCCGCGCGGAGCGCCGAAAGTTTATGTTCATGCAGTTGTTTCTTTATTTATTTATTTATATATATACACATATGTTCAAAAAGCAATAGTTTAAACCACTCATATGATTAGTCGTATCATTATTGTATTTTATCCTCCTCATTCAATACGTCCGTGCGTAGTCACAAACTCAGCGCTCCCTCGTCCACAGCGCCGTGCACGGGCCCGCGCGTGCGCGCGTGCTCGCGCGCACACGCTTTTGTGGCTGTGCGCACTAGCCTCGCAAGCAGCGAGCGCCAGTAGCAAACCAGAAACCATCGTTAACTCGGGCGTGTCCCTCTACAGAAGGAGAGTTCAAGACTAAACAAACAAGTCGTATGTACACGATTTCTCGACCATTTCCGACCATGTTTGAGAGTATTCCTGACCATGTCTGATGTTTCTTCTAGAACCCGCCTGTGGGAGGACATGCCCGATCTACAACCGGCGGCGTGCAAACCCCAGAAGAGGTGGACCCGCCGCGGTCTACCCCGGCGGCCGCGCCCCGAGCGCAGGCGCCGCGCCGACGGAACTCGCTCCGCGCGGTGCGGCTCGGACCGGGCCACCCTCGCGAGGCCCGGCCAGGGCCGACGGGGTGCCTGGCGCGCTGGGCGCGTGCTGACGCGGGCCGCACAGGCTGGGCCTGTTGTGCTGCTCGTCGTGGTCCCTTGCAGCAGTTTCCATATGAGGCACCTGCAGTGCCGCTGGCCACACTGCTTGAAGTTTAGGGCTGTGGACGTCGAGGTCTGAAAAGAGGAGGTCAAAAGAGGAGCAGTGCCTGCCATGGCTGGGATGCGACAGCCCCTGGGGGTTACGGCCGGCTCGTGTCGTGCCGACGCGGAGGCGACCCCAGCGCGGACGTTCAAAGTTGAGCGCCGCCAGTGGCCCGGAATCGGCGAATGTGGAACGATGTGGCGATTGAGAAACCGCCGATCGTTCAGGGTTGAGCGATCCGGGCGGCATCAGCAACGAACGCCAGAGTTGTCACGACATAAACCCGCCGGAACGGACAGAGAAAAGGGCACCCTTTGTAGCTTGTGGCGGCAGACCGCCACGGCCACCGACTAGCCTGAAAAAGCCTCTTTGCCCCGGCGGGTTGCGAGGAGCCATGGCGGTGCGGCACGGGGCGCAGCCTGGCGCCCGTGGCTGAGCCTCGGATCGGTGGCGCAGGGTGGCAAGGGCTCCCTCGAGGGCGCGAAGTTATTCGCGCTTCGCGCTTCGCGGTCCTCGTTCCTTCTCCCCCTCCTCCTCGTCCTCCTATTCTCCCTTTGGGAGGGCGGCGCGAGAGCGCGAAGTTATTCGCGCTTCGCGCTTCGCGCAGCGCGAAGCGCGAAGTTGGGAGCCCTAGGAAAGCCTTGTAAAAGCTTGTAGAAGTAAGTTGTCCCGATCGCAGTTGAGGGTTCCCTCTGGACCCAAGATGAGCTACAGTCAAGCTGACTGTCAGACTACAGGCGAGCTGAAGCTGCCAGCAATCCACGACCGGGCTGAACAAGGGAAATAAGCTGTCGCATGCAAGGGCTTCGCATCCATTTGCACACGCACGCAAGATTTGTGTATGCATGTGTATGTATGTATGCATGCATGTATGTATGTTTGTACGTTTGTATGTATGCATGCATGTCTGTCTGTCTGTCTGTCTGTCTGTCTGTATGTATGTATGTATGTATGTGTGTGTGTGTGCGTTCGTGCGTGCGTGCGTTCGTGCGTTCGTGCATGCGTGCATGCATGCATGCATGCATGTGTTTATGTATATTCGTGTATATGCGTGTATGTATGTGTGTGTGTATGTTTGGATGTATGCATATGTGTATGTGTGTATGTGTATATGTGTGTATGTGTGTACGTGTGTACGTGTGTATGTGTGTATGTGTGTATGTGTGTACGTGTGTACGTTGTGCACGTGTGCACGTGTGTTGTATGTACGCATGTACGTATATATGTACGCGCTTATGTATGTACGTAAGTACGCATGTACGTGTGTGCGTACGTATTCACGTATGTGTGCATGTGTTCATGTATGTATGTATGCATGCATGTATGTATTTATGTATGGATGTATATATGCATGCATGTGTGTATGTGTGTATGTATGTATGTATGTATGTCTGTCTGTCTGTATGTATGCATGTATGTATGGATGTACGTATGTCTGTATGTACGTGTGTGTATGTATGTATGTATGTATGTATGTATGTATGTATGTATGTATGTATGTATGTATGTATGTATATATATATATATATATATGTGTAATTATGTCGGTACGTATGGTTGTATGCATGTGTGTATGTATGACGGTATGTATGTGTGTATGTATGCATGTATGTGTGTACGTATATATATATATATATATATATATGTATGCATATATGTATGTATGTATGTATGTATGCAAGTATGTTTGCATGTATGCATGTATGTATGCATGTATGTATGTGTGTGTATGTATGTATGCATGCATATATGCATGCATGCATGTATGCATGCATGTATGCATGTATGTATGCATGTACTAATGCATGCATGCATGTATCCATATGTGTATGTATGCATGTATGCATGCATGCATGCATGCATGCATGCATGTCTGTACGTACGTATGTATGTATGTATATGTGTATGTGTGTATGTATGTATATATGTATGCATGGACGTATGTATGCATGCATGTGTGCGTGCATCTATGTATGTATGTGTGCCTGTTTGTATGAATGCATGTATGTATGTATGTATGTATGTATGTATATATGTATGTATATATGTATGTATGTATGTATGTATGTATGTACGTATGTATGTCTGTATGTATGTATGTATGTATGTATGTATGTATGTGGGTGTATGTATGTATGTATGTATGTATGTATGTATGTATGTATGTATGTATGTATGTATGTATGTATGTATGTATGTATGTATGTATGTATGTATGTATAGATGGATGAATGGATGGATGGATGGATGCATGTATGTGTGGATGTATGAAAGAGCGTGCTTTTCCGCTGCTGGCGGAAACCGGGGGGGGGGGGTCACTGGGGGTTCCCAACCCGCCCCCCCCCCTCGAAAACCGGGGGTGTCACTACGGGTTCGAACCTCCGCTTCACCCCCCCAGTCCATCATGAAAAGGGGGGGGAGTCACTACCGGTTCGAACCCCCCCCCGCCGCCGGGGCGAACGATCCCCGCTTGTCGGGACAGTTGGACAGTGGTGGGGATACTCGAACAGTGGTGGGGACGGTGGTGGTGGGGACACTGGTGTGGGGACTGACACAGTGGTGCGGACAGTGGGACAGTGGTGGGGAACTGTGGTGGTGGGGACAGTGGTGAGGAGACAGCGGGACAGTGGTGGGGACAGTGGGGACAGTGGGACAGTATTGGGGACGGTATTGGTGGGGACAGTAGTGGAGGCGGTGGTGAGGACGTTGGTGGGACAGCAGTGCAGTGGGGAGAGTGGTGGGGACAGTGGGGATAATGGGACGGTGGTGGGGACAGCGGGGACAGCGGGACAGCACAGTGGGACAGCGGCGGGGTAATGGGGACAGTGGGACAGTGGTGGGAACAGTGGGGTCCGTGGGACAGTGGTGGGGACAGTGGGGACAATGGGGAGAGTGGGACCGTGGTGGGACAATGGTGGGCACAGTGGGGACAGTGAGACACTGGTGGGGGCACTGGTGGGGACAGCTGGGACAGTGGTGGGAGCAGTGGGACAGTGGTGTGGGGGGCAGTGGGACAGTGGTGGGGACAGTGGGGATAGTGGGACAGTGGTGGGGACAGTGGTGGTGGTGGGGATAGTGGTGAGGGCGGTGGCGAGGACGGTGGTGGGACAGTGGGACAGAGGTACAGTGGCAACAGTGGTGGGGACTGGGGACAGTGGTGGGAACAGTGGGACAGCTCAGTGAGACAGCGGCGGGGACAGTGGGACTATGGGGACAGTGGAGACAGTGGGACAGCGGTGGGGACCGTGGGGAGTGTGGGGAGAGAGGGACCGTGGTGGGAACAGCGGTGGGGACAGTGGGGACAGTGCGACAGTGGTGGGGGCATTGGTGGGAACAGTGGGGACAGTGGCGGGAACAGTTGGGACAGTGGTGGTGGGGACGGTGGTGCTGGGGACAGCGGTGGGGGATGTGGTGCGGACGGTGGTGGGGACCCGGGAGTCGTTTGCCGGCGGCGGTGAGTGGGGGGGGGAGGGTTCGAACCGGTAGTGACCGCCCCCGGTTTGCTGAAGGGGCGGTGGAGGGGTGGGTCGAACCAGTAGTGACCCCCCCCCTGTTTTCTGGAGGGGGGGGTGTTCGAACAGGTAGTGACCCCCCCCTGCTTTTCCGGAAGGGGGGGGGAGGGGTTAGGGGGGGGGGTGCCAGGGGAAGGGGGGCGGGTGTTCCAGCATGGGGGGATTTTCGAGGGGGGAGGGACCCCCGGGTTCCGGAGGAAGAGGGGGGGAATTTGCCAGAGTAAAACGGCGGTGGATCACGCTCTCTCGGATGTATATATGTATGCATGCACGTACGTATGTATGTATGTGTTTGCACGTATGCATGTATGCATGCATGTATGTATGCATGCATATTTAAATCTATGCATGCATGTATGGATGTACGCACGTACGTACGTATGTGTGTATGTGTGTATGTTTGTACATATGTATGTATGTAGACATGTATGTAGTTATCCTTGTTTGTATGATTGTCGGTTTGTTTGTATGTATGCCTGCATGGGTGTATGAATGTATGTGATTATGTATGTATGCATGTATGCATCTATGTATGTATGTATGTATGTATGTATGTATGTATGTATGTATGTATGTATGTATGTATGTATGTATGTATGTATATACGTATGTATGCATGTATGTATGCATGTATGTATGTATGCATGCATGCATGCATGCATGTATGTATGTGTGTATGTATGTATGTAGGAATGCATGCATGCATGCATGCATGTCTGTCTGTCTGTCTGTCTGTCTGTCTGTCTGTCTGTCTGTCTGTCTGTCTGTCTGTATGTATATATGTATGTATGTATGTATTTATGTATGTGTGTATACATGCTTCATATTCTGCATTATCTGATTTTCTTATCTACCCACGGCTTCGATTTGAACCACTTTGCTGTGAGATGATCTGCGTTGTACTGCGTTGCTTTGCCATCGTTTGCTTTTCCTGGCATGAGGAGGAAGGGGAGCCAGATGAGGATGAGGAAGACAACAGATGCTGTGGATTGGAGTTCATGTTTGAGGAGGGGGGACAGAAGGTGGGGAAGGAAGGATGAAGAGGAGGCGGAAGACAACGAGGACGAGTTGATGGTGGGCTTGCCCCCCCTTCTGCTCAAGGTCGAGCAGTCCAAGTGGTCTGCGGAGCAGAAGAGCTGGTGCTGTGAGCACGAAGACAGCGGGTGCCCTCCCTGGTAAATCTCGCTTTAATGCTCTAGCATTGCCCAAGCATAAACCATGCTCTCTCCTGGGGGGATCCCGGCGGTTGCCGCCGCGCTGCCCTACAGGCTGCTGGATAGTGCTTTATGCTATCGAGTAGGATGCGTTTTGGGTGGCAATGCCAGCATGAGTCCAACTTCTTCTTTTAATTAATAAAGAAGAATCAACGTCGTCTATCTTATTTGCAATCCTATGCGGAATCAGAACGCAAGGAATAGCATTATTTTCAATGACGACTTGAAGACACCTCAAGGTCAGGAGGTTCATCAAGAGTTCTTGAAGTTTTCATGACGAATACTCGCGGCGCGAAGGCGAGTGCTCATTCTAAAAGCGGAACACGTCCTCCATCAGTATTATTGTTGGGTACTTCTGACTGCAGGTTTATGAGTGGTCAGGACGTCTCAGGCGAAACGCCACGCCCACCCTGCCGATGGGTCTCGTGGCGCGACGAGGGGAATGACGAATCACAGACATCCGCGGTGACTCCTCGCCGCTCCTTGCCTTCTGGACGCGCCTTTGCGGTGACACGTCGAGCGAAGATGCCGCCATGCTCCAAGATGGTCCCGAGACATTCCCAAGACGGTCCACGAGGTTACCGAGATGATCAAAGTGAGTTCCGAGGAGGCCAAGATCGCCAAGCGGTCCCCACGACAGCCTCCGACGAGGGCCCGAGAGCAGCTCGAGACGGCCCGAGTGAGCTCCAAGGTGGCCCTTCGAGAGCCCCGAGAGGCCAGGACGGCCCGCATGGCTCGAAACGAGTCCCAAGAGAGCCCGACGCTACGGTGAACGGAACAAGCGGGGTATGAACATGTTGCACGCCAGGCACCGGCCCAACCCGCCACCGTGCACTGAAGTGTCGGAGCTCATTTTGGGACGGAGGATTCCAAATGTCAGTTCGTGGTCCGCCTCTCGGACCCCTCTTCGGTTTAAGTCGGGCCTGTCCCTCTACAGGAGGAATATTCAAGAATAGTGCAAAAATAGTCGGGGGACGATTTTTGACCCTTTCTGAGCATTTTGGGAGTATTCTCTGACTACTTCTGATTCTTCGCTCAGCATCCCCCCTGCAGGGGGACAGGCCCGACCTAATCTCAGGTCTTGGGTGGGGCCTCGCGTGCCCCTCCTTGGAGGCCTCTGGCAGTCTCCGGGGTCGACCTTGGGGTCCTCTTTGGGCCACCGCGGGCGCCCTTGGGGACCGAAACATCTGGCGAGCCACACCCGAGGCTTTCCGTCCTTCTGTTTGCTTCGTGCGTTGGCCCCCGATGCCTCCGAGAGTCTGACCCCCAAGACGGAGGAGGGGGGGGAAGGGGGGGAAGGGGAGGAGAATGAGGAGAAGGAGGAGGAGGTCTCTGCTACGAGGATTCTGCTACCCTGATCTGCTGCACCATGAGCAAGAGAGCGCGACCGACGACGATGAGACACCACCATCCCCCAGGCCTTTTCTGGGCGACATGGGACTGCACGGCTGACACGCCTGACAGTCCTTGCTGCCACTGCCTGTCGTCTCCTTCTCGCACGACTTGATTCCAGCGTTGTAGCTAAGAGGTGGCTCGCTCGAGACTCTGGATCCAGCTTCGTTCCACTTTCTCGCAGTGCTATCGGAGCTGGCCAGCTTTCGTCCGCGCCCAGCGGCAGCGACGAGGGAGGGGATCGCCATCGGGCACTACCTTCACCCCCCGCTTCTCGCAGCCGTTTTCTCGCAGCGCCAGCGTCCGCTGCCATTGCATGCCCCCTTTCTCACGGGCTGCCCCCAACATTGCTGATCGTGGCCCGCTCGCACTTTTGGACTCCGTCTTCACCTCCAGCCTCTCCTCGCTCGTCGGATGTAACTGATGACATCGGGCTCATCCTTCGACTTTCCTGCCCACGTCGGGCGCCGACTCCGCCTCCAGCCTCCCGCGACCCGTCGGGTGTAGCTGATGGCATCGGGCTCGACCTTCGCCACGCATGCCCTGACCCCAGCACTGTAGCTGATGATGTTAGGCTCGTCCTTCGCCTGTCGGGCTCCAGACTTTCCCCGCAGCGCCAGCGTGTGCTGCCACTGCGCGCCCCCTTTACCGCACTGACTGCACCCAGCGTTGTAACTGATCGTGGCCCACGCGCACGTTACGCTCAGCGCCAGCGTTGGCTTCCATTGCGCACCCCCTTTCACGCACGGACTGCTCCCAGCGTTTTAGCTGATCGTGGCCCACCCTGCACTTTCCTTGCGGCGCCAGCTGCGGCTGCCACTGCGCGCCCCCTCTCTCGCGCGGGCTGCTCCCAGCGTCGTTGCTGATCATGGCCCACCCGCACTTCCCTCGCAGTGCCCGCGTCTGCCGCCACTGCCTGCCTCTAGCCTCTCGCAATGCAACCAGAGCCTGCTGCCACTGCGCGCCCCTCCCGCACGCGCTGACTCCAGCGCTGTGGCTGAGGACGTCGGGCTGTCTTCCGACCCTCGCCCGCTCGCGGAGTCGGGCCAGCTTCTGCTGCCACTCCTCGCACTTCTCGCACACGCTGACTCCAGCACTGTCGCCGACTATGGTGTACTCCAGATTTCATAATAAAGGGAGGGGGGTCTCATTTCGGGGGGGGTCTCTTCCAGGCTATCTTGGAGGGCCTGGGGGGTCTGGGGACGATGTTTTGGAGGGTTCTCCCACGGGGGAGGTCTGAAATGGCTTGTCTTGGAGGGTCCAGTCCAGACCCTCTCCCTTTTATTACGAAATCTGGAGTACCCGTGTCACACGTCCACTCGCGAAGTGATGGGGCGCTGCCGTCAGGCGATCACGATGGATGGCGGCAGGTTCGCCTTCCACATGTCGCCGAGCAGCTTGAGCGCCGCCTGATTGGGGAGCATGGGAGATGAGGAGGCTCGATCGGGCCGTGTGCAAAACGCATTGGGAACGGAGGCGCGATGGAGCAGCCGGGGGAGAAGAACATGGATGTCTTCCCATCCACCTCATTCTCCTTCTGTTGCTCCTGTTCCTCCTCCTCCTCCGTTTTCGTCTCCTCCTCCTCCTCCTCCTCTTCCTATTCCTCCTCCTCCTCCTGCTCGTCATCCTTCTCCTCCTGTTCCTCCTCCTCCTCCTCCTCCTCTTCCTCCTGACTCCCTCATCCTTCTCAGTGCCCTCCTGATCATCCTCGTCCCCCTCATCCTGTCCATCATCTTCCTCTTCATTCTCCTCTCCTTCGGGTTCTCCCGCCTGTCCCTCTGCAGCGTTGGAACGCAGCGCGACAACACCCTTCGGCAAGGCGTCAAAAAATGCGGTTGCGTCGAAGGCGTCGGCAGGGCCCAGTCTCGCGGGGTCTTCCTTGGCCTCTCTCGGGGCTCTCTTCGAAGTTCCTGAGATCTTCTTGGGCTCCTTTGGGAAGCTCCTCGCGGCTTCAAGGCCGTCTCGGTAAGGGCCTCGATGGCGCCAGTACGGAACCAAAAAGAGCTTCCAGGTGTTCGTTTTGAGGGGCGCTCAAAACGAACAGAGCGCGGCCTCCCGCGGGGTCTTCCTAGGCTTTTCTCGGGGCTCTCTTTGAAGTTCCTGAGATTTTCTTGGGCTCCTTTCGGGAGCTCCTCGCGGTTTCAAGGCCGTCTCGGGAGGGGCCTGGAGGGCGCCAGGACGGAACAAAACAGAGCTTCCAGGTTTTCGTTTTGAGGGGCGCTCAAAACGAACAGTGCCCAGCCCGTGGTGGGGCCTTCCCAGGCCTCTCTCGGGCTCCCTTCGAAGCGTCTGAGATCTTCTTGGGCTCCTTTGGGAAGGTCCTCCCGGCTTCAAGGCCGTCTTGGTAGGGGCCTCCGGGGCGCCAGGACGGAACCAAGAAGAGCTTCGAGGTGTTCGTTTTGAGGGGCGCTCAAAACGAACAGTGCGTAGCCTCTCGCGGGGTCTTCCTATGCCTCCCTCGGAGCTCTCTTCGAAGTTCCTGAGATTTTCTTGGGCTCCTTTGGGTGGCTCCTCGCGGTTTCAAGGCCCTCTCGGCAGGGGCATCCGGGGTTCCATGACGGGACCAAAAAGAGCTTCGTGGTGTTCGTTTTGAGGGGCGCTCAAAACGAACAGAGCGCGGCCTCTCGCGGGGCCTTCCTACGCCTCTCTCGGGGCTCTCTTCGAAGTTCCTGAGATTTTCTTGGGCTCCTTTGGGGGGCTCCTCGCGGCTTCAAGGCCGTCTCGGTAGGGGCCTCCGGGGCGCCAGGGCAGAACCAAAACGAGTTTCGTGGTATTCGTGTTTAGGGGCGCTCAAAACGAACAGAGCGCGGCCTCGCGCGGGGTCTTCCTAGGCGTCTCTCGGGGCTCTCTTCAAAGTTCCTGAGATGTTGTTGGGATCCTTTGGGAAGCTCCTCGCGGTTTCAAGGCCGTCTCGGGAGGGGCCTCGAGGGCGCCAGGACGGAACCAAAAAGAGCTTCCAGGTGTGCGTTTTGAGGGGCACTCAAAACGAACAGTACCCAGCCCCTGGTGGGGCCGCAAAGAACCCGAGGGCGCGGGGAAAAGCACGCACCGGGAGCTCGCAGGGAACCTCGTCAGCAGGAACGTCGAAGTGGCTGGTTTTCCCGAGAAAATGTATTTTTTTCCCTCCTCATGCGATCCTGCCGGCGCGTGTTACACCGCTCTGGGGCCATTTTGGGCGCGCGGGGGAGGCTGCTGAGCTTACAGGGCGCCTCCGGAAGCATCTCGGAGCGCCCGAAGAAATCCCAAGAGAGCCCGGAGGAGGCCGCGGAGGGCCAGAAGAGGGCCCCGAGGCGCCAGAAGGGCCGGACAGGGGGCCCGAGGCAACCGAAAAGAGCGCGAGGTCGCGGGGAGAAGCACGCACCGGGAGCTGGCAGGGAACCTCGTCAGCAGGAATTTGAACATGTATTTTTTTCCCCTCCTCAGACGCTCCTGCCGGCGCGTGTTGGAGTGTCTTGGGCCATCGTGGGCGCGAGGGGGAGGCTGCTGAGCTTCCAGGGCGCCTCCGGGGAGGCATCTCGGAGCGTCTCGGAGCGGCCTGGGGCAGCCTCGGAGCCGCGCTGGGGTCGACCAGAGCTTGCTGGGGCGCCCGGGGAGGGCTCCGGAGGGGCCGGCCCGCGGCCACTGCTTAACCATTTTCGGGGGAGCGTAGGACCCGGGTTTGCCAGGACTCGGGTTCGCCATCGTTTTTTGACGACCGCGCCTCGGATTTTGACGAGGAGGAGTTTCGTGGGATGTCTGCAGCGGGAGGCCTCGTCAAAATGCAGGCTCGGCCTCGTCATTTTTTTGACGACCTCGTCGGGGATTTCCGAGTCCCCGGTACCCAGGTCTTACGTCCCCCTGACATTTGGCTAGCGGTGAACGCTGCATTGTAGTAGAGATGAAGGCGCCAGGCCCCTGCGCTTTGATGCCAGTGTGCTGTGAGGCATCACCGGTGCGCGCCAGGAGTAGGAGGAGGAGGAGGAGGAGGAGGAGGAGGAGGAGGAGGAGGAGGAGGAGGAGGACGAGGAGAAGCTAAATGCGCTCGCGTCATATCTGACATCCTACCCCTCCCTCCCATCCCTTACCATGGCGCAGATCCCCTCTCTACTCGCACAGTCGGATGTCGAGCAGGGCAATGATCCGAAAGGGTACGCGATGCATTGTAGAGCACGGCATGGCATGGCGTAGAAGAGCACCGCAAAGCGTAGTATCAACCTAGCATTGCATTGCATGCCGTGGCATGGCACGGGAAATGACGCCAGCGCTGCAGCGGGAGCACGAGTCGAAACGAGCGGAAGCGCGGAAATGAGGCCAGCGCTGCAGCGGGAGCACGATTCGGAACGAGCGGAAGCACAGAAATGAGGCCAGCGCTGCAGCGGGAGTACGATTCTGAACGAGCGGGGCCCGAAAATGAGGCCGGCGCCTCAGCGAGAGCAGCATTTTGAAAAAAAATGCAGGCGAAAACCCAACTCCGGGGGAAACCTGTGTGTAACAAAAACAGTACGCGGGGGGGGGGGGTCGGGGGGGGGCGTCGGACACTTTCAAACCGTCATCAGGGGAAGAGGGAGAGTAGTATTCATATTGTGTAAGTGGAGAGGAGGGAGGAGGAGGGGAGGAGGAGGAGGAGGACGGAGGGGGGAGGGTAGGGGCAGGGGGATGGGGAGGAGGAGGAGGAGGAGGAGGAGGAGGAGGAGGAGGAGGAGGAGGAGGAGGGCCTAGGACGGTCCCCTGGGGCCGTCTTACAACAGGGCATGCTCTGCATGCTGGAGGCTGAGGCCTTCGGCGACGCGCCCGAGGTCTTTTGCAGGAGCCACGCGGGGATTGCCTAGAGCGCGCGGGAGCGCCCGAGAGCGCCTAGAGCACGTGGGTCCGTCTCCCCCTGGGTGTGTTCACGATACATTCTGATCGATGTATAAGATCGAGGTGGGCTCGGGGAGGGTTCTAATGTTCTTCGTGCTTGTCAGGATGTTTTTGTGCATCCTGGGGAGAGTACTCGTGGCTTTTCTGTGTGTCCTGGCCGGTGGAGGGCGTCATGTTCTTGACGGATGTTCTTCTGTCCTAGGTCCGATTGTACCCGATTCAGGGAGCCCAAAGGGACCCGAGGATACTCCACCCAGTGCCTGCGGCCCAGTGGCAGATAAGGAAGGGGGATGTAGGATGAGGACGACGAGAATGAGGAGGTGGAGGAGGAGGAGGAGGAGGACGACGACGACGATCAGGAGGAGAACGATCAGGAGGAGGACGAGCAGGAGGAGGTGGAGGAGGAGGAGGAGAAGGAGGAGGAGGAGGAGGAGGAGGATGACGACGATCAGGAGGAGAACGATCAGGAGGAGGACGAGCAGGAGGAGGTGGAGGAGGAAAAGGAGGAGGTGGATAATGATGATGATGATGATGATGATGATGATGATGATGATGATGATGATGATGATGATGATGATGATGATGATGATGATGATGATGATGATGATGACGATGATGTGATGATGATGATGGTGATGGTGATGGTGATGGTGGTGATGATGATGATGATGATGGATGATGATGATGATGATGATGATGGATGATGATGCTGCTGATGCTGATGATGATGATGATGTGATGATGATGATATGATGATGATGATGATGCTGATGATGATGATGAGATGTGTGATGATGATGATGATGATGATGCTGATGATGATGTATGAGATGAGGAGGAGAGGAGGAGGAGGAGGAGGAGGAGACGCTCCCCGAGGAACGGAGCGGGATGAGATGATGGCGGAGGAGGCGGAGAGGAGGAGGAGGAGGAGGAGGAGGGAGCAGCAGCAGCAGCAGCAGAAGCAGGAGCAGGAGCAGGAGCAGGAGCAGGAGCAGCGCAGCAGGAGCAGGAGCAGGAGCAGGAGCAGGAGCAGGGAGCAGGAAGCAGGAGCAGGAGCAGAGCAGGAGGAGAGGAGGAGGAGGAGGAGGAGGAGAGAGGAGGAGGAGGGGGAGGGGGGAGGGGGAGGGGGAGGAGGGGGAGGAGAGAGGAGGAGGAGGAGGAGGAGGAGGAGGAGGCAGGAGGAGGAGCGGGAGGAGGAGGAGGAGGAGGAGGAGGGTAGGAGGAGGAGGAGGAGAGGAGGAGGAGGAGGAGGAGGAGGAGGAGGAGGAGGAGGAGGGAGGAGGAGGAGGAGGAGGAGGAGGAGGAGGAGGGAGGAGGAGGAGGAGGAGGAGGGAGGCGGAGGAGGGCGGCGGTGGGCGGCGGCGGGAGGAGGGAGGAGGAGGAGGAGGAGGTGGAGGAGGAGGAGGAGGAGGAGGGGGAGGAGAGGAGGACGGAGGAGGAGGAGGAGGAGGAGGAGGAGGAGGAGGGGATGGGGAGGAGGAGAGGAGCAGGAGCAGGAGCAGGAGCAGGCAGGAGGAGGAGAAGAGGAGGAGGAGGAGGAGGAGGCGGAGGAGGAGGAGGAGAAGGAGGAGGAGGAGGAGGAGGGGAGGAGCAGGAGGAGATGGATCACCATCATAGTTGCATTGCTCATCCCGTTGTGCTTGTCGCCTCGCATCCCGTTGTCTTGTCTCGTCTTGCGTTGTGCGCTGCTTCTCGTCTTCCGTAGCAGTAGCACTCTTCGGCCGCCCGCCGCTGACGCCTCGAACTCTCGCCCCCGCGGGTGATCTAAGAAGGGAGTAGACCAGACCCCCCTCCCCAAGGTGCCCCTCAACGACGACAACCACAAAGAAACCCTTCGACTGCCGCGCGGGCCTCTGGAACTGGCGCCAGGCGAGCAACCGGGGTGGGGGAGGAGGCGCTGGGCCACTCTCCCTCCTCTCTCCCGCCCCTCCCTCATCCTCCCTCCTCCTGCCTTCTCCCTCCCCCCTCCCCTTCCCGCTCATCCCGATGCTTCCCCTCCTCCCCCCTCTTCCCTCTCCACCCCCCCTCCGTCCCTCGGCCCCTCGGCCCCTCCCTCTCTCCATCCCTCCTCCTTCTCCGCCCCAGTTCCTTACATAACTCCTCTCAACCTCACCACCAGATCTGTCGTTAGGATGGGCCTGGCGTTGTGCTTGAGACTCCTTCGCTGTTGGACGATCTGGAGTCGTGGCATTTCCAGCACGTGCACTGACGGGGGGCGGTCCGTCATCGACACGGGGCTCTCGTCATGGTGCCGCGCACGTCCGTCTTTCAACATTTCCGACAGCTGCGCGGGTTGAGGGAGGGCGGTTTCTTTTCAAACTGGGATCTCGCCTGGGACTTCCTCAACCGTATTTCCACACGTTGACACGTGTTCACCGGTTGTACAGATGGAGGGCGTCCCTTCTTCAAAGTCGAGCTATCGCTTGAGACATGGCTTGAACGTATGACCAGAAGCCCAACACTGCTCAACAGTTGCACGCAAGGAGGGCAGCCTTCTTTTCAAGGCAGGGCTGCCGCGGGGAGATTCGCTGCTTTCTAGGACCCCACCCCGTCGCATGGCTTACCCGCGAGGGCGTCGCCCTCTGCCGCCGGTGTGTGTTCGGGGGCAAGCCGCTGATACTCCCCGCTTCTGCCCCGCACAGAGAAGGGAAGACGTTCCCGAAGCGGCCACTCCGCTTCCTCGCCGCGCTTCCTCCGCCTCCATTTCTCCTCCTCCTGTGCCGTTTCATACATAACTCCTCCTTGTCGCAGCCTGAGGCTGGTCGAAAGGGCGGCCAGGCGTTCCGCCTGAGCCCTGAAGCTTGAAACATGACAACCGTTTCACAGACGGAGGGCGGGTGGTGTTCAACATGTGGCTCTCGCCTCAGCGCCACGCACATTCGTTTCAAACATGTGCAAGAGTTTCACGGATTGAGGGCGGGCCGTTTTCAACATGTGGCTCTCGCCTTAGCGTCGCGCACATTCGTCTTAAACATTTGCAAGAGTTTCACTGGTTGAGGGCGGGTCGTTTTCAACATGTGGCTCTCGCCTTAGCGTCGCGCACATTCGTTCGACAATTTTGCAAACGTTTCACACGTTCTCATGGTGTGATGGACAGATTCATGATTGTCAGGGTGCAGCAGCTAAGTTGATTCGATTCCGCCTGTGGAAATGAGCCCTTGTGTTGGGCCCATGAAGTGGGAGCCTGGAGGGAGGGAATACTCCAACATCGCTGATGAGTCTCGGGTTTGCAGTGGTCCTCCTCCTCCTCCTCCTCCTCCTCCTCCTCCCCCTCCTCCCCCTTCCCCTCCTCCCCCTCCCACGCCTCCTCCTCCTCCTCCTCCTCCTCATCATCATCGTCATCATCATCATCATCATCATCAGCATCA